ACTATAGTTAATTATAATAATTTGAAAGTTGCATATTTGAAAGTTGCTAAGACAACAGATCTTAAAGGTTTTCATCCTAAGGAAAAAAATTCTGTTAACTGTGTGGCGACAGGTCTTAAGGAGACTTATCGTCATGATCAGTTTGCCATAGACGGAAATATCGAATCGTTATATGGCACACCTGAAACTAATATAGTATTGTAGATCAATTACACCTCAATAAAATAAACAAATAAGAAATTTTAGGACAGAAAAAACGAAAGAAAAGGTAGTTCTGCTTCCTCAGACACAAAGCCTTGGGGGAACTCCTTAAACATTGCTGTTTTCCAGGATGACAAGGCTCAGGCGCATTTCGATATGGTCACTGGGGATTATGACACCAAGCAGAGTTAAAAAATAACAATAATAAAAACAAATGTCATATGAGAATAAAAGGAACATTATAATCTTAGGCTAATAATAATCAGCTCTTTAGTCATCCTCTCGAAGGAGTCGCCCAGACCTTGGCAGCTTTAGATTTCCCCAATGATATGGGAGGCAAACTAATTTCATCTTCAGAGTTAAACCCCGAGGGGTGGAGTTTGTCCTGTAATGGGCGTGGCCATATCACGGCCTGGTATGTGTCCAAGCACAGGTGGAAATCACCTGGTGGCCACAGGGTTGTGTGAGGGACCTGCCCTCAACTATTCCCCCAGACTGCCCTAAGTCCCCAGGTCCTTGCACCCCCTCCATGGGCCACGTGGAATAACAGGGCCGTTGAGGTACAGCCGTCTGTCTACACCTGAGAGGAGCCTCTGCCCGCAAGAGACTCGGAGCCCGAAGGCGTTTACATCACAGCTTTCTTTGCAAAAGAGCAGGAATGGAATAGCAATGTGCGACAGAAATGGACAAAGGCCCAAAACGCATAGTTGGTGGCACACATGGAAGTGACGCTAGATGTTCAGTAATAAAGCAGATAATCACCAAATTCGTAGATGAGATTTTTCTTTGCTCTCTGCACGCGTTTGTGTGACTGTGTGTATGTGTGCGTGTGTGTGTGCGCGCGTGTGTGCAGGGCTTTTATGAATTGTGGTGCCCCAGATTGTCGTCAGCCACCCCGCTTAATTTTCTCACATCTTTAAAGTGCATTGATTAAGGTACATTTTTCAAAAGCCTATCTATGTGTCGATATTTTTTAAAAGCTTTGACATTTTTTAAATGTTGTCTCGAATAAGCGTTTCATCCTCCACATTCCACTGCAGTTTAATAATTTAAAGACTCTCTTAGAGCAGCGTTCGGTTCACAGCAAAATTGAGAATAAAATCTTTCCAAAGTGAATCTTTCCAAAACAAAATACGACAGAGTCTTTTGTAACAGAAATTTGACATGCCCTCATTTACTAGAGGGACAGTGGGGAGGAGGTGACATTCCTGGATAGCCCAGCAGCCAGGGCCATCATCTGAGCAAAGACACAGCCCTAATTCAGATGTCACCTGAGGCAAAGCAGGAGAGGGACAAAAGTCCCTAACTTCTTCTACCCTCTCTAGTCACTCCGCCAAGACCTCCCTGTGCCTGCACCTGCCCAAAGGGGAGTAGGCTGGGGAGTGGCCCTGAGCAGGTGACAGGTGGACAATGGGTCAGAGAAATTTCAAGCCAATGAGGGACAGAGATTTTAAGACAGACCAGCCGCTGCTAGTTGCACTCTGCAGGTGGGGACCTTGGACAGAATAGAAGACCAGCCCACAAGAGCTCTTCCCAATACAGTCCCACTTCTAGTCACACGTCCTCTGTCCTTATAAATCCTGGGGCTAAGTTACTTCCCAGTCCTCTGGCGTCAGGGTCTGTTTCTGGTGGCCTCTTGCCTTCTGGATTTCTCAGGAAAGCTGAGCAAGCACTGCCAGAGGTGCCCAATATGCCCATAGTCTGTGTCTTCCTCTATCATGAAACGACAAGCCAGGACTCCCCAGAGGTTGGACCTCTAGGGTTACCACGACCAGTCACGGTGAAATGAAGTACTTTTTAAAACAATTGCTTCCTTCAGAAACAAAATCACTGTTTCGTGAGAGATGTGCACCGCCACATTCATTTCAGCATCATTCACGAGAGCCGAGACGTGGGCACAACCTAAGTGTCTATCACCGGATGAATAAAGAAAGAAATGGGGTCCCCAACCTTTGCAGCACCAAGGGCCGGTGCTCCTATGAGCATCTAACACCTGAGGATCTGAGGCAGAGCTGAGGCGGTGATGCCCGCGCTGGGGAGCGGCTGCAGGTACAGATGATGCTTTGCTCACCCACCCACGGCTCCCCTCCTGCTGCGCAGTCCGGTTTCTGCACTAGACGGAACCGAGGCGGCAGGGGAAGAGAAACGGGCCAACAGGGCTCAGCCAGGCTAGCCGTCTGCTCATGCCGGCCTGGCTCCAGGATCGAGGGCCTGGAGCAGTAAACCAGCTCCTTCAGTAAAGGCCAGGCTTGGGGAGCAAACGAGGCCTGTGGCGCACCTGACCGTGACCGCTCTTAACAACGAGCTTAATAACAAAGCAGAGTCGTCTCTTTATCTGACGCTCCCAACTGCCAGCTCATAGGAACTGGGTTACCCACTAGTGGGGAAGGAGAACTGGAGAACTCGAAGGGTGGCACCCCGAGGCCGCGGCCCCTGCCGGGTCTCCCCAGGCTGCAGTGCCTCTCAGGTGGGTGAAAGGGACACACGACTGACCTCGGGTCACAGAAGGCAGAAATTTGCTCGAAAGAAGACAAGCCATAATGACAACGTTAAGCTGCTCTCCATCCACTGATTATTAGTGAGACTCCTATTCATTTTGGAAGTGTTCCGAATGCTTTGTCTCCCTAATGCATAGAATATGTGATTATATAACGTCTATTCTATTTATATGCTATAGTATATATTTTATGTAATTATTTTTAACATGTGGTTTCCAAGTATCCCCCATTAGAATAAATATTACAAAATTATATACTTACCTTAAAACATAGATAAAACAAAAATTTTGTCGATACCACTAAAAACTAAGATTCTTCAGCATAAAAGACAAAAGAAGTATAAATATAAAATCCAACGGGTCTGGGTTGGGGCCAGACATTCTGCATTTCTAATTGGCCCCCAGGGGACACTGCGGCTGTCACTCCAGTGACTGCGCTTCGCGGATCAGGGGTCTAAGGTTCTTATGTCAGGCATGGGGAAGGTAAAGTTTCTGATTAATGCTAGACTTTGATACGCTGGTATCTAGGGCAGTGGTTCTCAGCTGGGAGGGATTTCGCCTAGCAGTGTGAATATACGATGTCTGGGGACATTTCTGGGCATGGAGGAGGTGGGGAGGGGTCACCGCTATCTAGTGATGCTGACGAACTTCCTACAGCGCGGCCCCTCCGAGGAATTAGGCACCTGTAACTATCAGTTAGTGCCGAGGTTGAGAAATGCTTCTCTGTGGAACCATTTAAAGAATAAAAACTGTCTGTGGCTTCCAGACTAGGAAGAAGGGAGAAATGGATGGATAAACTTCTAAGTCGATCCCCAAGGAGGTGGTGAGCAAAAGAAATGCAGAAGGAGGGAAGGAGAAAGCAGAAAACGGCAGACCCAGGCCGGGGCGTGTTACTGAGCACTAAACATCATGCGCTAAGTATCGGTCACAAACGAAAATCGTCAGACTGGATTTTTTAAAACATGCCATTTACAATCGATATATCTAAACCCTAAGGATGTAGAAAGTTTGAAAGAAATAAAATGGGGAAAACATACTAATCGGAAGGGAACTGGTGCATCTATCCTGATAGCAGAGAAGAAAGACTTGAAGGAAAAAGGCTACTGTTCTATCCGAAGAAGGTTATGTATTTCACAATGATAAAAGACTGAATTCGCCAAGGTATAAAGTCTTCGTTTTACGCCTCCGTAAACATGACTTCAAAATATATAAAGTGACAGTTTACAGAGAGAGAAAGCAGGCAATGCTACGGTTAAAGCGTCAGTTGGGCACAATTTCCTTAGTATTAGTTTGTAAAAAGCAGGATCAATTTTGAGGCTAATAGCAGGTCTGCCTACAAACGAATAATAAACTCGATCATTGGACCGAATGTAGAACGTTGCTCCCAGCGTCTGCAGACCACGCGTTCTATTCAATGACATGTAGATTTACAAAATTTGATCAGATACTGGACCCGTAAGTCTCAGCAGGTATAAACATTTTAAAATGTCAAATATATTCTCTAATTATATAATTCAATGAAGCTAGAAATCGAAAGCAAACAAAAATTGAAAGAAAGAAAATCCTCTTCTAAACAGCACTTGAAACGAATAGTATATATCATTTTGTAGAGAGAAGAAAATTCTGTTTTATATTTACACACCTACTTAGCTGGACCACGGGGTTGGCAAACTATCGTGTGTGGGCCAAACGGGGCCTGTTGCCTGTTTTGGACCTGGAAAATGCCTTAAATCCAGGTGGTCATCTCAATTACGGAGAAACGGGAGAACAGGTATCGCGGGACAACTGGTTCTGTTCCCGTCCCGCCCCGTTATGGCCCTGAGCACCCCGGGGGCTCCTCTGGGCAGGGCCAGCCCACAGGGCGCTCTGGCAAGTTCCAGCTGACCCTTACGCACTATTACCGCTTCACAAGCATTAACTCACTTAAATCTTCACACCCCGCCTTGCGGTGTAGATTCTATTATCATGCCCATTTCACAGAGTACAAAACTGAGTTCAGAGAGACTGCGTAACCCGCTCACGACTGCGCAGCTGTGAGCTGAGAACTGGGCCACGGCCCTGGGGAAGGCCGGTTCCAGGCACCTGCTCCTGACCGCCACATAGTTGGCTAAGGCCTGCGAGACCACAGGGCTCTGCCGGCCAGCGACACCTTGCGGGCCCCCGGGCCCCCGCCCCGCAGGCCGGCCACATTCCCCCAAGAAATCCCACGCCCGGCCACCAGGGCTTCCTCGGAGAGAAGGACAGAGATCATGGCCTGACGGGCGGCCCTTCTCCACGCCAGGGACAAAGACCAGAGAACCAGCTGTTTCTACACCTTTATTTCTCTGTGAAAAGGGGAAAAAAGGAGTAAAATAAAAACGGCACAGTTGACACGAAAAAACCACTGGGGGAGGGAGGAAGGAAGGGAGGCAGAGGTAAACGGGCCGGGGTCCGGATGCGCACATCTCTGTCCTGTGGGCAGGAGCGCCCCCCGCCCCTGCGCTGTCCTGTCGCCGTGCTCCCCCAGGCCCCGGGGAGGTGGACAGTGAGAAGTCGGACTCCCAGGCTGGGGAGAGGAGGAACCGTGCTGGGGGAAGGGGCCTGGGGTCAGACCATGCTCGGGGAGTGACAGCCAAAGGCCCCCAGTGTCTCCCGAGGGAGGAGTTTGGGGGCGGGGTGGATGTCAGAGGCGGCTGCTGGCTCTTCTTCTGGCACCGTCCTGGCATCATGCGAGAGACAGAACTGGGGGACAGAACAGGCGGCAGTCAGAACCACGGGTGGCGCCCCCCAGGCCGACGCCCATTCATGCAGACCCCCACCCCCACCCCGCCCTGCGTCTCTGAGTTCGCAGAGTCTTACCGGTCAGGGCCTCCTGGGCGAAGTACTTGACGTCCACGTCCTGGTCCTGTGTCAGCTTCTCCAGGATGGGCTTGACCTCGCTCTGCAGCGTGCTGAAGGAGAAGGGGAGGGTGAGGCACAGGCTGAGCTGGGCACAGCTGGGCCACGAGGCAGGCGGAGGTGCGTATGGGTGAGGCCTGCCTGTGAACCACGTGAGGCCACAGGTCTCCGGGGCCCAGAACGGAGGGTCACAGGGCCCACGAGTCTGAGGGTCGGCAGAGGGTGGGCTCCCATCTCTCTAACGTGCTGACCGAGGCCTACCAGGGATGTGGTGTGAACACACAGGTAAATGCCACACTCCCGGCTCCTGCCAAGGAGCTGACCTGGGGGGCGGGGGGGACAGACTCAGCTGATGACCAGGAGCAGAGTGGCAAGTGCCAAAGAAGTACTTGGCCCTAGGCCCTACAGGGACAGCCCAGGGAGGCTTCTGCTCTCGTGCGGGGGCCCGGGGACATCTGTCTGCACTGGGAGTCAGTCGCTTTGGGAAATGAACGTGAACATGAGAGGCACTGAGGGTGAGGTTGTGTCTTGGAACGGAGGCAGAGAAAGACATCGCAGAGGCAGGCGTCACGTGTCCCCTTCCAGGTGACTGCTCCTCTCCCTCCCCCGCACGTGACCGCCGCTCTCACTCCTGTCATCTAGATCTGTCTTCCGCTTCCGAACCTGATATAAACGAATCACAGGATGGGTCTCCTTGGTCTGGCTTCTCATCCAACATCGTGTCCGTGCGTCTGTGAGAAGCAGCCGTGCTGCTGTCTATGGGAGGAGCCCTCCTTCGTTCCCAAGCAGAGTGGCCCATTGTGTGGATAAACCACAGCTGACCCACAGGACTGCTGCCGGGCACTCAGGCTGCGTCCATTTCAGCAACGACGTGACTAAAGTTACAACATCCTTTTGTCAGGAACTCTTTTCCCTCGGATACACACCCGGGAGTGGACGTGCCGGCTCAGAGGAGGTACGCATGATGATCTTCGTGAGATTCTGCCAGGCTTCAGAGATCGTATGCATTGACCACTTAAGAGCCCAGTCCGCCTGCCGTGTACGACGGCCCAGCTCCCAACCCAAACGACTCCGAGCTCCTCCAGGGCTGCCCATTCCGCGGTGTTTTCATTTGCATTTTCCCGATGGCTACTGGGGTTGGGCACCTTGGCACATGCTCACTGGCTATCTGGAACCTTCTTTCGTAAGTGCCTGCTCGAGTCTGTCTTTGCCCACGTCTTTCTTGGGGTTTGCCTCACTGATCTCTCGGTCCTGCCAGAAACGTGCACATCGCAAAGGCCTCCGTCGGCGGCTTGCTGCTGGACCCTGGCCGTGCTCGCCAGGTGCATCCTCCACGGTACCGGAGGCGAACGTCTCGATCCGCTCCTCGGCGAGCTGCTCAGCAAACCAGTGCCTACTACTCTAAGTCTTGACGACGTTTTCCACTTTGCTTCTAGGAATTTTTTAAAAAAATCTTTCTGATTCCGGCCCGTTACCTCAGTTTTTGCACTGAGGCGGGAGGTTTTTTCCCTCTAACTCGCATATCACCTGATCCGGTCATCTACGGATGGTACCGAGGTTTCCCCTGGCCGCCGAACCGCGATGGCCCCAGCTGCCGCACACACACGGGCGTTTCTGTGCCCTCGACTCTGTCCCACTGGGCTGTGTGCATGTCGTCGTGATGACACCTCGCTTTTTAATTCCTGCGGCGTCAAGGTATCTCCAGTATGTCTTGTGACTTTTTTCTTCCTTAAGCTGATCTTGGCTGTTTCAGATCTTTCCATTTCCGGGTTAATTTCAACATCGACCTGTAGATTTTCCTCTGACCTTGCCTTAGATTACACTGAGCATTTCCACATGCCTAAATATCCACGTGGCGCATCTCTCCATCTCACACACATATATACACACACACACACACTCTCTCTCTCTCACACACACACACACACACACACACACACACACACACACTTACACTTGTTAATTTCATCTTCCACTCATCTGTTGCTCGCATACGAAACTGCCACCCGCCCCCTTCTCCTCTCCCAGTACGTGAAATAGGCCACGCAGATTCTCATTCTACATCTGAGGAAACTAAGACCTTGGGAAGGGGAAGAGACAAGCCAAGGTCACACAGCAAGCGAAGAGCAATGCCGGGCCAGGGCGCAAAGCCTAGGCTGTTATCAAAGATCAAGGTGCGTGGAACCAGCCCCGCTGACGTGTGAGGGTCAGTCCAGGCCTCACCTGTTGTCCAGGATGGGACCTATCTTCTGCAGGGACTTGGCCACATTGAAGCGGACGTTGGCGACGGGGTCCCCCGCCATACGCAGGACCGTGGGCAGCATGTGCTTAGTGGTGATGTCCTGCCCGCAGACCTCAGACAGCACCTGGGAGTCAGTGAGTGGCAGGGGGTGATTATCCAAAGTTCATGGCCAACTCCCACGTCCCTAATTCCCTGACCAGCCACCTCAGTGATCACTAAGCCTGAGTGTGAAACGGAGCGACATGAGGACCCCGAGTCGACGGTCACCCACCCGTGTCAGGGGACACGGTTTCTCCTGAAGCTCTCACCTACCCTAACACCCCCTAACGCCACTACCCGCTGCCCTGGGAACACATGGCCCAGGTGGTCCCCCGGCCCCATCTCCCTGTCCTGACTTCCCTTCATCCTCTGGGGATGGGCCTCGACTCCCAACCCCGAGACCCCTCATTAATGCGGTGGTCCCCGGGGTGAGGCACGGGAAGAGATGACCAGACGCGCATCCTGTTTCTTTAGAAACACGACCCTTTCGTTTCTAGTTGGACGCGCGGCTCACTGAGGTGACAAGAAGGAAGCACCTGCTCTGTAGAACGAAACTGTCCTGAGCCCCCTGCGTGTGCGGCCAAACTAATCCTCACGACCTCGTGACCAGGGCGCGGTGACTGTGGGCACGAGTCTGTCACAAGCGCGAACACGGCCATGCCGCACGGTCAGGTCACCTCCCCGCGGTCCAGCGCCAACGCACGGCCATCGAAATCGAGGTCGGGCCGCAGGGGCTGCACACCTACCCGTTGTCACAGACACACGCACGCGTGCCTGTGGGGAAGGGCGGGGGCACTTACGAAGGTTTGGCAGTCGCCGCTTCAATTGACTGAGTCGCCCTAATCCTGGGTTTCCCACCCTGCAGGTCCCCACCTCCCCAGAGACCCTGTGACTGACTGGGGAGCCGGACCTCTGGCCTGCAGCTCCCCTGGGACTCACCCCTCTGAGCCCAGGGTCCCTGCTTCCCCACGGCCAAGGCAGGTGTCTCCCTGCATGACCTTTGGCCGCCCCTCCTCTCCCAGGTACCCGGTCCCCAGGGATGGGCCGCGGGCACGTGAGGGTGCTCACATTGATGCAGAAGTGCAAGTAGTTGGGGTCCCCAGACATGGCCAAGACCTTGGGGATGATAGTGGCATGGGCCCACTCCTTCCCGAACTTCTCCACCAGCTTCTTCAGGTTGCTGGTGGCCGCCTCGCGGATGGCATAGACTGCGGAGGGACAAGGAAGGGAGGGCAGGGGTTCGGGAAGTGAAGGACTAACGTTGGGGAGTGAGTCACGCCACCACCGCAGCCCCGAGGTCCCAGGCCACAGGTGACCCAGGAAATGTGGAGGACGGAAGGGCTCCGCCGTGTCAGCGCGGGCTTTCCTATTCACGCAGCAGCCGCTCGGCAGCTCTAAGACGCTGGTTCCATTACTGGCCTGGTCGCTTGGTAGGCGAACAGGCCCCAAGAGGCGATGCGCCCAAGCCAAAGCCAGCGACTCAGGACCTGGGACAGTGCCTGCGACAGGCAGAAGTCACCACTCCTAGTGACAACAGTGAGCAGTGCTCGCGAAGGCCCTGAAACACTGGGGTGAGAAGTCCCACGTCTCACAGCACTGTGGCTGGTGGCCTGACTCCACTTCGATACCCAGGAGGATTCAAAGCCAGGGCTGTCGGCTCGGTGGCCCGGGGACTCGAGACTACAGTGGGCAGCCTCTGATGGTGTGTTATACGTGCCCCGCGTACCCTACACTGCGCCAGGATTCTGAAACACAAGGGAATCAATCGGTCCAGGTGAGCATCTGATGGCATGGAGAGTGGCTCCAGCATCCACCAGTCTCCGCACGGGCCCCAGCCAACCTGCCACCTGCCACCCGCCACCCGCCCTTCCTAGAGCCGCCATGGCCCCCTCCAGCCCGGTGGGAGACTCACCGTGATCCACGAGCCAGGCCATGCACAAGGAGTTGAGCTTCTCGTCAAAGAACTCCACCCCCTGCGGGAGGAAAGAGCGAAGGGCTGGGGGGCGGGGCTGGGGAGCATTTCTGGAAAACCCCCAGGGCAACACCCCCCGGACAGACGGACACAGACACGGCTCGACGTCACTGAAGGGGCCGCCTTCTCTGCTCTTTCTAACGGTCCCCGCTTCCGGTGTCATTCCCTAGACGGTCCTCACAGCCTGTCACACTGCCCGGTGATTAGACCCCGCCTGGCCCCCGGCCTCGTCACTCACCAGCTGTCCAGCCAGCAGGGGCATGTACTCGATGATGGCCAGCCGCACCCGCCACTTGGCGTCCTCCGCCAGCTCCACGATGGCGGGGAGCAGGGACTGGGACAGCTGCCGGATGCCGATCACCTCGTTGACGCAGTCCAGGTTGGAGATGATGTTCAGCCGCACCTCCGGGCACTGAGGGGGGACAGGAGGCTTTGGGAGGGTGCCCGGCACGCGGCGCCCCGGACGGGCTGCCGGCAGCACCAACGCTGCACACCGAACACCGCCCGCCCGGGCCCGGCTCCCGGCCCTGGGCACGCAGAGCACGCAACGTGGATCATTAAATGAAGCAGGTTTTCAATCCCACAACGGCGGCACAATGAACGATCGGCCATAGTGAAGAACTTGCAGGAATCACAGTACGAAAATATAGAACTCTGGAAAAAATCAGACTCGTACCAATCCCACCGTTTGCTAGTTGGGGGCCCTGTGGCAGGGGACTTTAGCTTTCTGGACACAGAGACGTCCATCTAGCGTCAAAGGGTGTCTGAGGCTATCACAGTGCCTGCCCCAGGGTCTGCCCCACAGAGGGCTTCACGGGAGCGTCTCATGAGCATTTCTGGGACTTCTACTCTGCTAGGCCTCGAGCTCCGTGAGGAGCGCGTCCCCTTCGTCTGTCTCCAGCACCCAGCAGTCTCTGGCCCACAGTAGGTGCTCAACGCATTTCTGAAAGAATAAACAAGGGAACGACTGCCTGTGACTAGCAATATCACAAGCACCGGTCACAACAGGGTGTGTATGACCCCACCTACTGCCACAGAGCACGTGAAACAACAACGAGAAAAGACACGTGCACGGTCAGTGCTTGTCCATCAAAACAGAAACCCGACTAGATCCCTGTCCCTCACCACGTCCCTGGATGGCAGAGGCCACTGGCTTGTCCTTCTAACTCAAACCAAGGGAACAAGTGACTCAGTCAACCAAGTGCATGAGTCATGCCCGGGTGGCCCAAAGTCCACCTGCCCCGCAGCGAGGCCTGGCCCCTGCCCGGCTCCTGGGAGGTGACTGCTAAGCCCCTGGAATGTCCTGCGTGGAAGGGCGTCACTGTTCACTGGGGCCCTGGGCCCGGCACACAGACTATGCCAACGGTGTGACCGAGGGTGGGGCCTGGCTCCTGCAGCGTCAGCCTGAGCTCCGGAGGGGCTGGGGACCGGGTAACTAGGGGTGGCTCCATTCCAGACCCAGGCGACCGATCCCCAGTCAAGTCCCTGGAAACCCAGGCTCGGTGAGCTTCCTGGTGGGCAGCACTCCGTGGCTTCTGTCACACGTCATTAGTGGGAGACGTAAGCACTGTCCACGTAAAGCCACCAGGAGAAGACAACCAGAAGCTGATGTCCCTGCACCTCCCTGGCCACTGCACCTGGATCTCTCTCCGACATGAGTCTCAGGGTTCCTTCCCGACACCCATCGGTTCCAGCTGCTCCATTCTCCCAGATTCGAGCCCAGCCCTTCTCCCTGGCTGACACCCGTGACCTCGGCAGCCATCGCCCGGCGCTCTCGTCTCTACTCCAGGTCAGCTAAGCAGCTGGCGTGCTCACGTGCCTGGCTCAGGTGAATGGTGTCTGGGGCGTCAGCAGGCTCATGGCTGCCTCTTTGGGGCCCCCAGAGGCCTAGGCCGGCTGCTGTTTCCTTCATGCCGGCCGGGACGGAGGCGGCGAAACTCAGCAGTGCCTCAGACCCCCAGGGTATGGCGGTCCCAGGGCTAACCCCGGGTGGGCCCGCCCATCTCCGGACCACTGTGTGAGAGAGAACTCTCTTATTTAGGCCTGTATATTTTGGGGTCTCCATTAAAGATCCTCAGCCTGAGCCGTAATGAATGGGCACATATCACAGCACCTCCGCGATCGTGGGGTCGCCCAGCTCACTCCATTCCCAGTCTCGGACGGTCTCGGGGGATCAAAACTGTCTTAGTCTTTTCTCGGTGTCCCTGATGCCCGGGAAAGGGACTGGCACAGAGTAAGGGCGTGCGAGACAACTGCCTGCTAAGTCATGACGCGCTTGTGACAGCACACCGCGCCCGCACTCGGCTCGCCGGAGGCCTGGTGTCTGCCGAGACTCTGCGAGAGCCTGGCCCCCGGGGACAGCAGCTGGCCCGCCGGAGCTCGGAGCCCACCCGCGCCCTCACCTCGTCCTTCAGCTGAGCCAGGAAGAGGGGCAGGAGGTGCTCGATGGTGTTGTCCTTGCCCAGGATGGGGGAGAGGCCCATGATGACCGAAGCCAGCGCCGACTTGACGTGCTGGTTGGCGTCGGACACCAGCTCCTGCGGGGGAGGAAGGGAGGATGGCCAAGGGCCCGCAGCCCAGTGCACGACGCCTACGAGCCTGAGCCACGCTTCTGCTTTTGCCCTCGTCACTTATGCAGCAGGGGATGGCTCAGGCTACGAGGGGACCTGTGGCTCCTTAGCTGTCCCACCTGCTTGGGGTTCAGTGACTGCGCCTGCAGCAGCCCCGCCCCAATCCCAAAGCATCTGGCGAGCGGTCTCAGTGGCCTCTGAGGGGGAAGCCCCCACCTCCGGGCTCGGCCCCCCGACCGTTGCAAACCCAGGCTGCCCGGCACCGGGAGGCCGGGAACTCGGTTTGCGCCCGGCTGTCCCTTGAGTCGGCGGCCTCGGGTCTGCCCCCTCTGTCCACCAACCCCCGCTACCTTGATGCACGGCAAGATCTGCGTCATGATCACGTTCTCCCGACAGTCGGCGGAGAGATTTTCACAGAATTCTGCGCACGGGGAAGGGAGGCCGGAAGGTGAGACCTGGTCCCCCCTCCAGCCCTGCGGACACCCGCCCGCTCGCTGTGTGGGGTCGCCAGCACCAACCTTTGACCTTGTGAGAGGCTGCGGCCCTCACCTCAGCCTCACAGTCTTTCATTAGGTTCTGGAAGGCGGGGACCAGGTCCGTCTTGGTGATCTCAGGCCCCACGGCTTTCTGGAGCTGCAGAGCGGGAAGCGGGTGGTTAGTGAGAGGGCTTGACAGGTGCGCCGGGCGAATGAGGCCAAGATCAAAGGCACCAGAATCGAGGTTAAGAGCACGGCCCTCGCAATCACGGCTGAGACCTAACCCTGCTGCCATG